AGGTCCATGCAAGTCTGAGATCAGTGTCATTTTCCACTTTGTCTGAGGGTTCAAGTACCTCATAGTCCCTAGCACAGCTACATTTACTTCACTACTGTGAAACAAGTAAGAGCTGGTACCCCTTCTACAGGTAATATTCCTTACCTTTTCAGGAGTAGTAATAGAGGAGCACTAAAAAAAAAAAAACAAACGAGTTGGTATCAGTCTGCCTGATTTTGAGAAGAAATAAAGAAGAGTACAGATCAAGGCACTCAATCCTCCAGCCTTGCCTAGGAAAGGCATCCCAAGCACTAGGCATGTGTTTCTGCATATGTTCAGGACAGCTTCTGTCCTGACAAGGCTCATCCACCCCTAGATCTGCTGTTCAAGGGTTTAATTTGATGTCACCAGTAAATCCTACCCCAGCTTCCTGGTACCATCTAATTCAGGGGTAATTTGTAAACTCTTCTTTGTAAGATGTATGTATTGCATATCAAGTTAATTTGTAGTGTTGATAGCACCAATTTTAGAGCCTTAGAATACCTTCAGCACTTACTCCTGAGCAGTTCATCTAGTTTACCTGGAATTCTTGAGAAAACACATCTCTTTTCTACTCATAGTTGATGTCCAAACATTATTTTGGTTAAAGCAAAACATCTGGATCTCTGAAGATGTTTCTGATTATCTTCTCACCAGACAGACATTACTTCCCATAGGGTAAAGATACTACTGATTAATTTGTTCTTATGCAAGGCAAGAAGAATCTACTGGAAGCCAGGAAACAAACCATCTGTACCAGAGAAGATGTGGGTAGAATATCTTTGGAAAAGAATGAGCATACAGTTGTAGAAATACTTTTTTTTTTAAAGATCTAGGAGAAATAAGGCTTCATGTCAGTGCTTCAGGAGATAGAAATCAGGGGTCAGAAAAGAAACAGAGGCATTTTATTCCATTTCCCTATAGCAAGCAATAATAAATAATAACAAATACAGGGTAACGTGAATATTGGATAAGTGTGATGATCACTTAACTATAGCTGCAAAGTAAAGACTCTGTAAATTTGAAATGCAATATTTTTTAAAGAACTAGTGGAAAGTATTTTCAACAGCACCTGCTGTTGAATTTCCGTTATTTTTCAATGGTTTTGCCATTACGTTTTCCAATTTTAAAAGAAGTGAAGCTGACTAGACACAAGATACTGTCAAATGCCTGTTGCCTTCAGGGGGCAGTGGTGACCTGGTTCAGGAATGGCACGGCGACATCTTCCGGCCGCCAGACCCTAACTACCCACATTTCCCCCCTCCCTATGCACAACCAAATTAGCTAAAATATAACAATCTTCAGACGTAGACATCATAACTTAAATAAAAAACATAAGGCACAGTAACCAGGAGAAAACTAGGAGGTAACTGGTAACCCTGAGTAAATACACTCTTAAAGTAGTTGTTGGTGTTCTACCAACATAATGTTAACTTTCTCTAACCAACTTTTAACAAACAACACAAGCTTATTTAGTATACAAGGTCCAAAGATAAGATCATACGAAGGCATCGCAGCCCCCACCCACGGAGGCCACTTTGCTGTTGTCTGGATTCTGCCAGTGTGGAACTCTCAGGCTTAGACAGGACGCTTGCTGACTTATTGTCTTTTCTTGTCACCAGGGTATACAGATTACAGGGGTGTCCGATGATCTGTTCCTGTGAACAGAAACTCAGTTTTCATTAGTTTTATTCTGAGACGCGGTCGGGGCACTGTGCCGAACTGGTGCCAGCGCCCAATCCACTGTGATCTGGCAGATAGTAGGCGAGTTGATCATTCCTTGAGGCTGCATTTTCCACTGGAAGTTGGAGTGTTGGCTGTTTGGAGCTTCTCTGGCCGCACGAGTTGTCGTAACTTCATGGGCCCACAGGCCCTGGGCTTGCGCCTGGGGGGTGATCACTGTTGGGTCCATACCCATTAGCTGCTGCAGGCTAGAGCCATACAGTGGGTGATCCGCCCCAGTTACTTGGGCCAGTAGTCTCATACAGTTGTCCTCCTATTCTTGTTTAAAAACGATCATCCCCCCCCCAGTCAAAGATCAGTCAACAAGTTTGTTTTATATCAAACGGGAGCATGTCGTCTCCCCCGAAAACACCATCTATGAGGGTGGAGACCATTGCAGAATGAAGCCCTTTATCCGCAATGGCTTTAACAATCGCTTGCACATCGTTAGGGTTTATTGGTGAGTGAACCCTCTGCCCCCCGTCTGTCACCCAGACCGGGAACTGTTAGCATGGCCGATAGAGCCCAGACAGCACATGCAATCTTAATTTTCCTCCAATCCGTGAGAGGAATTTCTCCCCCTCACGGTGCAGCTTTATTTCGGTTGGGGATGTTTTTGCTATCTGTCCCCATTTCCTCCTCCTCCTCCGAATGTGAATCAGGATCTGATCCGCAGTCGGCGCTCGGCTGACTGCTCACCTCCGCGTCCCGGTACCCTCCCGTCGAGTCCTGGCCCTGCCCCCCACCCCTGCGGGCGGGCCGCTCTCTCCCTCGTGGCTCGCCCCGCCGCCTTCTCGGCGAGGCGTTTGCCCCACAGGAGCGTTTTTTCGGATGGCCGTTCCGATCGGCTCTCTGCCCCTCTCTCGCGCTTCTACCTCCTCCCCGGGCGCCCCCACAGCCGTCCTCTTTCTCGCATTTCCACGTGTTAGTGAAACCTAGCACTTCTTCCCCGTTCCCGCGGAGGCATCTTCACCCGACTCTTCTAGTTCGGCACCGTACTGGGGCGCACATGGCGGTGGTCTCTCCCGGCTTTCCTCAGGCTAGTCCCGCCGCTCCGGCCGCCGTTCACCCGAATGCAGCTTTCCCGGGTTTCGGCACCGCTTGTTGCCTTCAGGGGGCAGTGGCGACCAAGCCCAGGCCGCTCGGTCCCTTGGCTCACAGACACCAATGTGGTGGATGGCAAACGGCGTTTATCGTCGAGTCACAGGGCGTGAGGCCCATAGCGTCACTCCCGCTCGCTGACATCACAGACCACACGCTACTGTCCATCAAGGGAGGGGCTCCACCTTTCCGTGCTGCGCCACATCGTCCGGCCGACAGACCCTAACCGCCCACAAATGCCCAAGGTAAATACATGGAAAGAAAATAATAAAGATACATTTTTTTCAGTAACAGCAAAGGGAATGTTAGCAGAACAGTATTAAATACAGAAGGGACTCTGACAAAAAAGTAAAAGGTTGAATGGTGTCCCTTTAAAACAAAAATTAAAAATGGCTGGAATCTTTCTCAGTTGCTTCAACACAGATTATGGAGTATGAATCAATCTGAATTTATGCAGCAGGTTAATTACATATTTGTAATATGAATCAGATATCTCAGGTTCTGTACTTAGAAAAATCACCTTTATTAGCCTCATGTGAATGCTCTGTGCCAAGACCACCCAGTGACATGACTTTACTTTGAAGGATGGAGGAAACTGTGTAGCCTTAAATTCTTAAGCAAATGCTGATTCTCAGGTTCCTAAATTACAAAATCGGAAGATGGAAACTCATAGCACATTGCAATAAAATCACTGTTTGCACCTAGAAGAGAGAAAGTCACTCATGAGGTTCCCTTCTGTGTTTTCCTGTGCTGCTGCAGGATGTCCCCTGTAGGAAACAAAAGAGCTCTTATCTTAAAGGCAACAAATTATCACACATCCACTACTTCAAGCCTAGGGCATTATGCAGGTGGTTTAGAAGTTGCATCACTAGGTCTATTCTGTTGTTCTGGAAGGGAAAGACCTAAAATGGGAAAGAAGGCCAGTACCCTGTTAAACTACTTAAGAGGTCAAACAAAATCTGTCTGCAGCCAGCAATGTTTGGATTTTTCCTTTGGCTCAAAGAGCAAGCTGTAAATCATACAGCAAATGTGTGCTCTGCTAGAGGGTCAGAGGAAAACATCTGCCCATACAGGGCAGCCACTTCAGTCTTAGTCTTAAATAAATAAATAAATAAATAAATAAATAGAAATTGCTGCCAAGTTCCTAAGAAGTGCCCAGAAGCAGCTGGTGCTCCAGGTCTCCTGCTTCATCCTGGGCTGGTGGGTTCATGTCCGCGACAGAACATTCAGCATTAATTGTGACACAGAATATGCAGAAACAAAGGGAGGAGCACTCTCATGAAGCTTTTGCTTGTTTTCTCCTGACAAGTCTATCTAAGCTTTTAATCCCAATTAGAAGGGGACTGTGGAAACCTTGAGAGGGAGAAAGAGCTCCTCACTCCTTTGCTGGTTTGTGTCCAGCCCACAGGATTAAAAATCGAGTATGTTCTGTATGTTCTAGCCTTATCCTGACGACCATCTGTCTATTTGCAAGAAAGGAGATTCACAGTTCTGTGAAGTGGAGAGCATAAAACCAGACCACCTCCACTGCATTCAGTCTCAGTGGAAAAGCCAACGAAGCAGGAAGTGGTGAAACTTCCCTGGAGAGCACAACAGCATAGGAGAAGTGCATGGCATAGGGAGGGGTGGAAAGTTGCACCAGTATTTCCTGATCCTCGCTTTTCCTGTGAATATATATTAAAATATATCCACAGATCTGTGTCTCTGTATTTATCAGTATCCAAAGCTACCGAAATTACAGCATTTTTTGTAATAACAGGGACTGACTTTAGCAAAATGAGATGTTCTGAGACACATTGAAAAAGAAGAGTCATTTCATTGATGTGGGGAAAAGTCTTTTCACTTTAATATATCTGTAGGTCTACTGAGTTTGGGGCTGATTTCTGACAGAGTAAAGCAAACAGTTATAAGGAGAACTCCGTGGTGCACTAAGCATGCTGAACTTTACAGCTACCTGCACTCATAACATTTTCAGTATTTCAGTATGGTCTGTGATGGCAGAAATCTGCAAAATGGATGGAAATGATTTCTCATTTTTCTCTGAATGTGCTATCTACCAACCTGACTTTACTGAAAAGAATTTAGATTGGAGCCGGCCTGGGTATTTGGCTAATACACTGGCTTCCTGCCTTTACCTTGAAATTTTCTTTTCCCCCTAGGCATAGAAAAACTCGGCAGTCTGCTTAAAAATGAAGAAGTCGTGACACCTAGCGGTGAGTTAAACAACAATAGCTTTTGTTTCTTAATGAACTCACAGTTGTTTTCCATAGGCATGTTGTTCTCAGTCAGATTGCGATGTGAGAGGTGTGGGTATCACCATCATGACTCCAAACATCCAGGCAGCCACTCTCTTTTTCTTACAGTCCCATGCAATGCCTGTGCCTTGTTGCATCTAACTCCTGCTCCTCTCCACCAAAGGCTGCTTTTTCATTAAGGCCCAGCATGCAGCCCCTGGTCATGCTCCTTATTGAACATGACATTTTGAATAGCCATTTATACTGCGACCAGGCTAAGTGCTTTGACTTTGGAGAAAAAGGGAGCATGGCAGAGTCCTGGCGTAAGATCAAATGGGAATTACAGCCTTTTTTTTCTTTTTAAAAACTTATTCATCAAAGTTGTTTTTAGAAGGTGACTCAAAACTGTATTGTATGGCATGCAGCAAATTCCTGGCAGGCAGTTTAAACTGACTCAGTTGCTGGCATATTCTTTTGCTTTTGAAGACTACTCAGAGTCTGCCTTGGTCAGCAGCAGTCTAAAAGCACATACTGGCTGTGATACCACGACAAGAAGTCGCACTGAAAAGCAGTAAACCAGTCTAGACATGTGCAAAAAAGCTATAGGTTCTTTCCAAACAGTGGCAAGCCTTGGAGATTTTTATTGTTTTTTAGGGAAGCAGAACAGTTGTTGAGTTAATGGTAACTAGGCTGCAGTCACCAAGTGGAAAGCTTTCTTGGCTTGTTGAGCTTGCTGATTGAGGACCAGCCATTTTTTATCACAAGAATGAGCTTCAGTGCAAGAGTTTTCAAGTCAAAACATCACAGTATGTTGTTCGGGAATCTGGGTGCATGCTTCTTTGCATCTGTAAGAGTTGTTAGCAGTGTAGCCTTCCAGTTTCATGTCCATATTTGTGCATGCTATATCAAGCATACTTTCCATTGCCTTCAACGTGACAAACTCCTTTCCCCTCCTCTTTTAGAATAGATGCTTGATAGAGCTGCATGTTGTAGCCAACAAATGGAAACTAAATTACTTGAATATATATGATTTTCTTCATCTAAAAATTTATATAACCACATGTCCACATGTATTTAGTACCTGTAACTTCCCCGGTTTGCTGTCTTGGGTATAATTAACACTTCTACCACCATAATGTCTGTATATAAGGCAAGTGAATCTAAAAACATCAGTTCTGTCCAAAATGTTCCAGTTTCCATCCCTTGAATCATCAGCATGTGACCTATTCTGTGCCAATATTAATAACCATTGCTCATGGCTTTCAAACAACTCAAACTATTTAAAAATTAATTCTGTTTACAGTACCTTTTAGAGGAAGTATTTTGTAAAAGTGAATAACTCAAACTGACTAGTGGCTACCCACAAAATATGACTATCCAGTAACAAAATGAATCATTTAGAATAAGTTGGCAAGGACAGGACGTATTGTTGGAGAAAACATCAAGCAAAGATCAGATCCAACAACCAGGAGTCCTGGGTTCTCTTTCTGCTGTACCACACATTTGCCATGCTGCTCTGACAGGCAGGCCTATCTGCAGTGGCTTAGGCAGCTACTAGCCTCAGTTACCCTGAACCACACTGTTTACTTTTTTACACTGTATGCTGTGAGGCTGAGGTGAAGTGCCCAGTTCAGCTGTCACCCGTAGAAACGTTTGCAATTGGAGTTGGAGCCCATAGGTTTATGCTTTGCCTTCTGGTTTTTCCTTTGTAAGATGGAGTTGCTCACCAGCTGATGCATGGCAGGCTTGTCTGAGGTCCCTGGTGTGGGCTGAGGGCTGGTATTACTTCAGTCTCCACTGGTGGTGATGCCACTGCCATTGCTAAAGAGAAACAACACAAAATGGAAAGCGATGCTAATGTTCACAGCCTATAGCCTGAAATAAGTAATGCAGGCCTGGTTAGAACAAGTGCAACATCTGGCAGAGCAGGAAGCTAGGCTCTGCTAAGTGCTTGGAGGCCACTTTTCACGTTTTGTATTTGCCATTGTTGCTATAGGCTCTAAGCAACCCCTAAACTGTCACAAACAGAAGTAAGGTGGTAAGAAACAATCCTGCACAGGATTTTCAATACTCAGCTAGGACATGCATTTTAAACTAGATTATATTAACAGACTATTATATTAACAGACTATTAAGCTATTGAGTGCAGGTGTGATATGGACACTGAACCCCTAGAGTATCAGACTCACTTTCATGATTAAGCCTACAATCACAGAGTCACAGAATGGTTAGGGTAACAAGGACCTCTGGAGATAATCTAATCCAACCTCACTACCAAAAGCAGGTCCAACAAGAACAGATTCCTCAGAACCATATCTGCTGGGTTTTGAATATCTCCAAATATGAAGACACAAAGCCTGTCAGGGCAACCTACTTCAGTTCTGAATCATCCTTCAAGTAAAAAAAAAAAAAAAAAGTTTTTTTTTTCTTTCTTTCTGATGTTTAAATTGAATTTCTTGTATTCCAAGTTTGTGCCCCTTGCCTCTTGTTCTTCCCCTGGATACCACTGAGAAAAGTCTGGCTCTATTTTCTTTACACCCACTAAATTGGGCATTCATACCTATTGATAAGGTAGGGTAGAGAATCATAGCTCTCAGCCTCTCCTGCTGTCAGGTGCTCCAGTCCATCAGTCATCTTTGTGGCCCTTCACTGGACTGGCTCCAGAATGTTCACCTCTCTCTTGTACTGGGGAACCCAGCACTGGACACAGCACTTCAAATGTGACCTCCCCAAGGCTGAACACAGGGGAAGAATCACCTCCCTTGTCCTGAAGGCCATGCTCTTCCTAATGTCTCCCCAGAGGCTGTCCTCTGCCTTGCTGCAAAACCATGTTGCTGGTTCATGTTCAACTCATCCACCAGAACACCCAGGTCTGGTATCTACTGTCTGGTTCCATATTAATGTCCAGTTCTAGCTGCAGCTTTCCTCAGTTTCCTAGATTTAATGCCCTGAGTTTCCCTCTAATACATAGATTAATGTGGCCAGGTCCATTGAATTGCATGGACTGTTAAAATTAATGATACTTAATTATCCACTAGGACTGAGAGGTCTAAAAAGGCCTCCAAGCTGTTGACCAGTTCAGCAGGCTGGATCCATGTGTAACTGTCATGAGCAAAGCGAAGCAGCAGCAATTTATCATGTTTTCTGGTGAATCTGGGTAATGACAAACCTCGTGCTGTGCCATAAGTTTTAATGGCATCCTAACAACTGCAGAATAGCTCAAAACGAGGGAGGAGCTGCCTCTCCTAGTAAGCTGTTTGTTGTCCTTCTTGTGGCACACAAGAAGGCACACGGTGAAGTGTTTTCTGCATACATATTTGGGCCACCTCTCAGCCCTACATTTCTCAGCCCAAAAACAGAAAGGAAAATTCACTCTGTCACTAGTAAAGAAGTGAAAGCCTTCTACAAAAATATAACTAGCTGCTTCTCCAAAGAGCAACAGAACAGGACACAGTGGGTTAACACTCCAAAAACAGGAAATACCCCTAACCAACACACTATGTCATCACATAACCTAGATTTCAGTCAAGAATTTGGGTGTTGTTTTAGATAACAAAATAGAACATGTGTTCGTCATTAATCTTCTTGAACATTTGTTTGGCCAGAAACTGTCTCTGATCAACCCACTTATGTAAACAGGTCTATGCTTCAGACAAAAGTGGTAAGATCTTATTCCAAATACTTGCATTATAGGGAATCTCTCTTTAACCCTAATGAGATACAGTTAATGATAGCCTCTGCATTGATGGCAGTACTCCAAAGACTTTTATGTTCCGTTTAAATTTTGAAATTAAACGAAAATTTATCTTGAATCAAAGGGTAGAAATATTACCTCTAAAAATCTACCTTTGTCTCTACCAAGTATCAAACACTTTTGAGTTTAGCTTCCAAATGACCGGAAAGCTTTTTCTTCTTTCGTGACCAAATAGCATATGTTGCATTCATTGCAGCTGAACACCCTGGAGAGGTTTCCATTCATCATTTAATTTTTCACAGTTACACGATCATATACAAAAATGAAGGAGAAAATGAGAACAAATAAGCTTTGTTTATTTAAGGAAAATAAATGTTGCATTGTACTTGTCTCAGCTTATTCTGGGCACAATTTATGTATTTCATTTATGTTTGAGAATGCGGTCACATAAACTTTCAAAAATTTTACTTGCAGAATATTGGTGGAGTAAATTAAAACATGAAAGTTCCTATAAGTTGTTTCTCCCCGTAGCTGGTCTCTTCATTCCATTTTGTTTCAGAACAAAATGAGAACAAGCAAATGACTGTAGTCCTGCCAGTTCAAGGGCAGGGCATGAGTGGGGGTGAGGGAGTTGTAATCGCTGCAGCTACTGACTGGCGGTGAAACTTCTTTGTCTCTATTTATTCATTTGGAAAATGTAAAATATATTTAAGAACTAGCCAAGAGCTGTATTCTTACTCACTGTGAGGGAAGTTTGCGCTTCTCAGTCAAAAAGTGTTAATGCTTTAATTGCTTGAAGATTAATCTAAGACTTTTAACTGTCTGATAGAAATCATTTCCAAATCCAGGGAGTCCTAAGTTGGCAATAAACACAAACATTAGAAATATTTATCATCAAGTTACAGCATTGAAGAAGATCAGTCTCAACTCTGCCAATTCCAGAACACAGTATCTTAATTGCATTACATATTTTGGACACTGTCATGAAATGCTTCTGAAGATCACAGAGATACAGAACTCTTGAGATACTGATTTTTGTGTTTTCTTTAATTTGGAAATCAGCTTAAGCATGACAGTTGATTTAAAAATTTCTTACGAAGTTCTGCATTCAGTAGCTGGGAATATGGTACAGAAAAGACTGTGCTGATAGACACAGAGTAATAAGGAAAGGACAGAAGCTAAAGTGAACGGAGTAAGGGAAAATAGACCAACTGCCCTGGCTCTTCATATTTCAAATGCCTGGAACAGTGAAAAGAAAACAGAGATACTTATGAAGGTAGAAAGA